TAATTGAAGCAGATATTTATGAAGTCATTGGGAGGTGAACTATCTCCAATCTCAATCATTAATATTTGGAGGATTTTCTTGCCAGGCTGAATTAGGAGGAGAACATCAACAGACAGACATTTAAATTGTGTTGTTTTTTTTACTAAAACAACAACGTTAAGTATTCTGGATTTTTTTCTTCAACAGCAAACATAATATTTTAACAAAAAAGCATATGTCCCTCACTTCTCACATTTATCTCCAGACTTCTCCTTGTCCAGATCTATTCCGCCCCCCAACAATCTTCTATTCATTGAACTTTTTGAAACTTTGCACTTTTAGAGAGAGGTAAGGGATTGACTCTGTGTACACAAATTTGCAGAGGGACAATAGAGTTGAGGTCTGTTATTTCTCACTTCTCTATATTATTTATTTATTTAAAACATTTTTACTGTTAACAAGCATGTTACCTCTGAAGACACAAATCCACAGTTTGAGAACTGCAAAACTAAGCCTCTCTGACGGCATCTTCTAGACTGAGCACTGAGTCCCATTGGGTAGATAGAAAGATTAACCTAAATAATCTACACAGAAGCCCCTGGAACCCCATTAGATCGGGTTCTTCATTCCATGAACTGTTAGAACTCATTTACAAAACTTTTCTTAAACATGACATGAATATATTGTCTCATACTATAGAATTCGAATGTATAATCCCTATTCCATGATGAGATATAATGTATCTTTACGTAGTTTTTTTCCTCAAAACTCTGATTTAAATAAGGGTTGGTCCCTGGAGCAAGGGAGGGGCTGTGGGTAAACTGCAAGCTCAACACGGCTGGGGAGGGGATAAACAGGATCCCGGGCACCACCTGTGTAAATGTAACCCAGGTCCTGCACGGGGCAGGTTGCTTTCGAATGTTACTCTGCCCCAGGCAGTCTGCAAGGCTCCTTCTGGATATTTTGGTACACAGCTAAGGAAATGCTCAGGCTCTGTGAAGGAAAAAGAAAGGTGGCCTTGTAATTGAAGACTTTATCGTCACACTGTATATGTTCAGAGTGGCCGAGGGGAATGAGAGATGCTCTTTGCCAGTGGATTTCATGGATACTCGCTGACAGCAGAGGAAGGTTGAGTCATGGGAACCTTATAAGTTCTGGAGGGTAGTAATCACAGAGCCTTCTGCCCTTGTCCTCTCCAGCATCTCTCAGTCCCGTCTCTCCACCCGTCTTTGTCCCAGTGCCAGCTGTGAGAAACAATTGCAGGAAAAGTTCTGCTCAGCGCTGGGATGGAGCATACTCAGTACAGACAGTCTTCAGAGAATTTAGATGTCAAATTCTTAGGCTGCACATCTGACTGCACACCTGCAATCAGGAATTTTATTTGGGGCTTGGGGGTTGGTTGCACTGGGAAGAACTTAAGTTGGCCAATCTGGGGAGGATTTTCACAGCAATGGTCAAGACCTGTCCCTGGCATGTCCTCCTGCCAAAGCTCAGGTGTTGAGGTCCCTGCTCCAAAGCTTGCGGGCACTAGAGCTTCTCAATGAAACCATTGTAAGAATTCTTCATCTGGAAAAACAATATGCTTTTCCCCCCCTTAGCTTTGCTCTTGGAAATGGCCCGAGCCATCCGAGCAGAAACGTACCAAAAATCTGCCTGAGGCAGATGCCTGTCCTAGGAAACTTCAGGGTGACTGGTTCAAGTTTGGCAAAGTCATAAGCAACTGAAAAGAGGGGCTTATAATGTGAAGTGTTAGGCACCCATCCCAAGGTGACGCGACCAGCTCTGTCTAGGGATATGTCTGCAGGGGAGAGGAAAGGTGTCATTTTCAGTTTGAGTAGACATACCCGCCCCAGTGTGGACACTCAAAGGCAGTCTTGAAAACACCAAATCCACAAGCTTGTGTCCCACAGACCCAGGTTTCCAGTGCAATGTAGACGTGCCCTCTCTGACCTGTATCGCCCTGTAAGGGGTCGGACTCACCCCTGCAGCGCCTCCTGCTGGTTGTCTGGGGAATCAGCTCAGTCCAGCATCCAGAGCGCCCTTTGCAGGCCAGTGATCCACCTTGTCATGACTTCTGGCCCCCATGTCCCTCCCAGGACCCCAGTGCCCTTATCTGGGGGGTTGCCCTCTGGCAGAACCCCTTGCTCTGGGTTTCCCCTCCCCGGGGAACCCCCACCCACAAACCCCACCTCACCTCAGTACCAGGTCACTGCCAGTCACTATCAAGACCCTGCTCCCTGGGGCAGACTGCAGTATAGGCCACTCAGCACAGGCAAGGTTGGGTTCGGACCTGCTGCCTTGGCCTACCTCTGGGCTGCCCTCTGCAACCCCCAGTACCCCTTGGCCTATTACCAGGCCGCAGCCTGGGGCTTTCCAGGCTGGAGCTCCCCAGCTCCTCATCCTTTCCCCAGCCCTGCTCCACTCAGGTAACCTGTCTCTGCTCCCTGCAGCCAGGCCCTTCTCTCTCTCTGAGTGTAGAGAGAGACTGTTGAGCTCCTGGCTCCCAGCCTCTTTATACAGGCCAGCTGAGGCCTGATTGGGGCATGGCCCAGCTGCAGCTACTTCCCCAATCAGCCCAGGTAGCCTTTCCCACAGCCCCAGCCCTCTGCAGGACTGGCTTTAACCCTTCCCAGGCAGGAGCGGGTGTCCACCCCGCTACACGCCCCCAGTGCAGTCCCGCCCCTTTCATCGACCCAGCTGGGAGCTCCTGTTCGGGCACAGGGAGGGCGAGGGAGGATTGGACCCACTTCAGTCACAGGGACCAGCAACCCTGTGACAGAGAACAAAAGGCCAACACGTCTGACACCAACCTCATGACTAGTGAGGACTGGACTGAGGAGGGGGGGGTGTTTCCTTCCTTCTCACATGTAATGTGACAGAAGAGAGAGAAACTGACTAAGACTGGGGGACGGGAGGGAACAACTAGTTTTTTCTTTTCAATGAAGATTATTTTTACTACAGCTGGAACCAGACAAAACTGAGGTCAAATCCCCAGCGTCTACAATTTCTTTTGATCTCCCTCCAGGAAAAGCTTAAGGGGACACGGTCTGATGAAATACCATATTAAACACACACTCCTCACCTGTGTCACTAACAACACCAGGCAGAGGTGTGAATGCTCAGCAACACTACGGCCTGGCCTACACTTAACAATTAGATTGACCCAGATAGGTGCATAGGGCTGTGAGAACCTAGGTATAGAGGGTTAAACAGTTACAGTGCAGAGTGAGATGCAGTGGTTGTGGTTCCTGTCTGGGTCCCTGGGGCTCTTCAGGGTCAGTGCCTGGGCCGCCCTCGCCACTCCAGTCTCTAGTCCTGCAAACAGGAGCTTGTGGGTTTCAGGCCAGGTTCAGTCAGTGTCTCTCATTGGCGCCCCTCTGCCCTGGCTCCCTGCCCAGCTGCTGTTGTTCCAACTCAGACCAGCCTGTTCCACATGCAGTTCTGATAGTAAATAGCCCTGGGAGGGAAAATTCCTAATCCTGACTGGAATTTATGTTTCTTCTCCCAGGATGACAGAAGATTCAAAAACTCACTGGGCTGATTTGTTTTCAAAATGGGGCAGTAAACTGCCCGGTCTGTCTGAGGAGGAAACTGAAGAATTCCAGACCGCTGTCAAAGTTGGGAACTTGTCAAAAGCCATTTCTGTGGTGAAAAAGTCTGATGAGTTGCTAAGAAATACCAAACTCAAGATCGCCATCACAGGGGACACGGGCTCTGGGAAGTCGTCTTTCATCAATGCCATAAGAAGCTTGAATGATAATGACAGTGGTGCAGCTAAGACTGGGGTGGTAGAAACAACACAGAAGCAAACTTCTTACCCCCATCCCATATACCCAAATGTGATTGTGTGGGATCTACCTGGGATTGGATCACCAAAGTATCCAGCAGAAACATATGTAAAAGACATGAACCTTGATCAATATGACTTCTTCATCATCATCGCAGCCCTGCGCTTCACAGAGGCTGATACCAAACTTGCCAAAGAAATCAAGAGGATGGGGAAGAAGTTTTACTTTGTCCGCTCCAAGGTGGATGCGGACTTGGCTAATGAACAAAGAAAAAGAGATTTCAAAGAGGAGAAAACTCTAGCGGCAATCAGAAGTGACTGCATGGAGCAGCTACAAAAAGCAGGGATCATCTCCCCACAGGTTTTCCTGGTGTCAAGATGGGACTTTCACAAGTACGATTCTCCCCAACTGCAGGAGACTTTCGCAAATGACCTCGACACTCACAAGAGACACGTTCTCATCTGTGCCCTGCCCAGCACCTCTGAAAAAATCTTGAAAGAGAAACAGAAGGCCCTGCAGGAACATATCTGGAAACAAGCCCTGAAGTCATGCGCTCTCGCTGCTGTTCCTCTCCCATATCTCTCAGTTAAGTGCGATGTCGACATCCTGGTGGAGAACATGAGAGAGTATTGCAAGTCCTTTGGCCTGGATGATGATTCCCTCAAACCATTTGCTAAGCAGGTTGGGAAGTCTGTCGATGAACTGAAATCTGTGATGCAGTGTGCTTTGGCCAAAGATATAACAAGAGAAGAGGCTTTGAAGCGGCTCAGAGAGGCTACAGGGGAACCTATGATGACAGTTAAATATTTTATCAGTGTGGTACCACTGATTGGCACTGGGATAGCAGCAGAGAGATCTTACAATGTCACCTATGAAATGCTACATACGTTTTTGGATGAAGTTGCAGAAGATGCTCAACGAGTCCTGAAAAAGGCTTTGGAGGGAGCAGAGGATAACTAATAACAATGTCCCAAAGTAGAGCTTCTCCCCAGCTTTGCAGGATAAACTGCCACACCCCAAGCCTCCTTTCTGTAATTTTATTGTCCCAAACTTAAACAAACCAGGAGCCAAAACCATTTCTTGGCTCACCCTTGCATTGCTGACTTTCACTGCCTCCGCTTCCAGGGGCCTCTGGCAGTCCTGCTGCTCCTGTTTCCACTCTCTCTCTCTCTCAACCAGTCCCCCCTCAGTGGGTCCCTGGTCTGTCCACACTGCACAGTAAGCCTGAGCTCTGACTCAGGTTTGAGCCTAAACCCTGCTTCCTTCCTCACCCAAATCAGTCTGACTCGGGTCAGTGAGCACTCGGGAATAGGACCTAGGACCCTGCTGGGGGGTGGGTCAGAGCCCTAGTCCTGCTGAGTCTCAGGTCCAAGCCCTGTCATTCTGCAGTGTGGACACAGCTCAAGCTGCAGACCCAATCAGAAGGTTTGCGTAGTGCAGTGTGGACACACTAGCACAGCCCTGAGACCCGGGTCCAGCACTTGTAAACCCAGGTTTCCAGTGCAGTGTGGACACTCAAGTGCAGGCTTGGAAACACCGAGTCCACAAGCTCGGTTCCCATAGACCCAGGGATACAATGCAGTGTAGAAGTACCATCTTGGACCTGTATTACCCCAGTGCAGCCCATCCCTTAATTGTCCCAGCTGGGAGCTCCTGTTCTAGCACAAAGAGGGAGAAGTGAGGTTGTACCCACTTCAGTCACAGGGGCCAGACATCCCGTGACAGAGAACAAAAGAGCAACAGATCTGACACCAACACCATGGCAAGTGGGGACTGGATCTGAGTAGAGAGGAGGTGGCATTTCCTTCCTTTTCATATGTAATGTGACAGATGAGAGAAAGACTGACTAAGGTGTGGGGAGGGGAGGGAACAGCTAGGTTCTTTTCTGTTAAATGAAGATGATTTTTAATAAGGCTGGAAACAGACAAAACTGAGGTTGAATTCCCAGCTTCTACAATTACTTCTGATCATCCCACAGGAAAAGGGACACTGTCCAATGAAATACCATATTAAACACACACTCCTCACCTGTGTCACTAATAACACCAGGCAGAGGTGTGAATTCTCAGCACCATTCAGGCCTCGCCTACATTAGACAGTTAGATCAACCTAACCACATTGCACAGGGCTGTGAAAAATGTCACACAAAGACCCTGAATACTGTAGTTAGGTCAGTAACCCCTGGTGTAGATGCGGCTAAATCGATAGAAGAATTCTTCTGTCCACCTAGCTCCTCTCTCCTGGAAAGGAGGATTAATGACATCAGTGGAAAACCCCCTTTTGTTGATGTAGGAAGCCTCTATACAATGTTACTACAGCTGCAGTACTGGACCTACCGATCTGTCTGCACTATGGAGACTGTATATCAGCGCCGTAGCTATGTCAGCATGGAAACAATATCAGAATTTCAGCGCAGCTGTGGAAATTCTGAACTTGCACTTTAACCACTTGGGGAACATGTGGCAGGGAAGCAAAACACACAGGCTTTGGCAAAGGAAATTCTTAACCACAGACACCAACCAGCAATCTGGGCTCCTATTGCGAAACTCCATCCCCCCCCCCAACTCTTTCATAGGGGTGGGGCAACCGTTAAGAGTCATTACAAAGCCAGTAGACCTTGCCTGTCATCTCGACGGCTCTCTGTTCTAGTGCTCGACGGGGTGTTAAGCCCCCTCCCAGCACTGGAGATGTCTCGGTATTGCCTCACAACAGGTTGTGCATAAACAAGATTAAACTGGATTTCAGCCCAGGTGAACAGAATCCAATGGTGAACAGAATTCAACATGGAAGCCTGCAAACAAAATGGTTGATGTATCGCGGACACAGACATACAAAATGGATGATGTACAGTGGACACGGACACACAAAATGGAAGGTGAATAGCAGACACAGACACAACAAAATGGATGATGTACAGTGGACACGGACACACAAAATGGAAGGTGAATAGCAGACACAAATACACAAAATGGCTGATAATCTTCCACATTCATCACATCCACATTCTGAGCAGCCCGACGATAATAATCTGGCAGCTGTAGCCTGCTCAGCAACCCAGATGTCCACTCTTGCTGCTTGAACTCAGGGCCCGGAGCTCAAGTCAGAGTCCGTCTATGCTTGGAGCTAGGGGTGCGATGCCCAGCTCGCAGAGACACCCTCACGATCGCTCTCCTGGAGCTAGCACGTGGAATATGGTGGTGTAATCATGGCAGCATGGAGAATGGCGGCATGGGCTAGATGTACTGAGTGAAAACCCACCTGGACCCTCAGCTCCAAGTGTAGATGTAGCCTGAAATGGCCTCTCTGAGAAACCCCTGGGAGCAAATCCCCAGCTGGCGTGAATGGATGTAGCTCTGTTGATTCAATCCCATTTACACAGCTCTAGATCTGCTCCTCCATGCACAGCCATTTACCCAGTCTCATCCCAGAGGTTGGCTAAATTTTCTGTTCTCTGGCTGCAGTGATGAAACTAAAGGCTGTTATTAACCTGTAACAAAGTTGTACCCCAAGCAGGGTTTGGAAGCGTCCAGCTGCTAAACCTGTATCAGAGGTTTAATGGTTACTGAGAATCTCACCTCTGCAATTGACAACCCTGAGCTGCGGGTTGAGCTACTGCTGATGCGTTTAATCCCTGATTTGCTTGATTGATGCTGAGTTTAGATTTGCCTGGGAACCACCGACCCCACTCAGACTGACCTGAGGTGCTGGGTTTGTAATCACAGGGTGTTTGTCTCTCATGGCTATTGGTTCATGTGATGCTATGTATCAAACTGTTGCTATTCATTTGCTCAATGTTTCATACCTGGTAACCCGTGTGGATTCAATCTCACTGCTCCATGTACTCGTTGCTTTTCGTTTGATGGTCATTCCAAACCTTTTAGAAGTGCATTTATCCTTCAATAAATTGCTGTAAAATTTGATCTGACACTTTGTGCATCTGAGCTTTATTGCTCTTAGGAAAATGTGGATTAAGGGGCATAAACTGGATCCGTGCTTGGACTCCACTCCTGTAGGTTGGGTATTTAGATTGCATATTTATATCTTGGGAAGGAGGTGTGACCTGGTGTGCCTAGGACAGCCCTCTCTGAAAATTCAAAGCTCAGGGCAGGCTGCAAAAAGGAGAGCAGATTCTCTCAAAAACTGGTGGTTAACACTGAAGTTAGACTCGCCAACCACTGTACTCCTGATCCCCCATACTGGTTATCAAGTAGCTAAAAAAGAAATCACCCCCCTCCCCCTTACTGCATTCCAGTTCTCTGGCTCCCAATCAGCAAACAGGTTCAGTACAGTGAGAAGTTATTTAAAAACTCTGCTCACTATACCAAATGTTCTTCTGAAACCAAAGGGTCAGCCACTTTACCAGTCAATATTAGTTTGGATCCTACCCAAAATACCAGGCTGCCAGACAATCTGTTATTATCTAAAACTAAATGTTTATTATAAAAGAAAAGAAGGAAAAGAGAATTGGTTAAATTGCCAAATCAATCAGATACATACATAAGAAGTCGAAGTCTATAAATCAGGTTCTTAGTAGGGTTGGTCAGTTTTCTGGCTTGAAAGTCCCCCGGGAACAGATCCACAGCTTGGATGCATCTTTCAGTCCTTTGTTCAGAGCTTCATTTTGTAGAAAAGTCACTCCAGAGGTAAGAAGCAGGAATGAAGACAAAATGGAGATGATGTGGCTGCCCTTTAGATTCCTTTTGCCATGTGGCTTGTGCTTCCTGTGTCCCAAACATAAGCTGCAAAGCACATGACATTGAAAAGTTCTCTGTCCTCCAGCCTGCCGCTACATGCCTTGCTGACACATAAGGTGCATCCCCTGGCACCTTTCAAAGGGTTAAGTGTACAGCTGAATACCCTTGATGGACCATTGAACGGGCTAGGCAGTGCTGATGCCAGTCTGTCTGGGGGTGTCACCCAGAAACAAAGCACACATTTGGAAATACAGATGTACCCTATGTCTCTATAACTCACAATACAAAGGAGATACAGACATAGAAACAAGATGATCATACTTGGCAAATTATAACATTTTCACAGATACCTTACATAGCCTCTCTGCTCAGACTCATTGCAATTTATAATATTGGTATCAATAATATCATAAAGTGCCCAACATATTCCATACAGCTGCGTCACAGGGGGTTGGATGTTTAGTTGGATATAATAGTCAGAGTTGTCAGAAAGAAACATAATGGAAAATTTTGGTGGGGACACTAAACTTCTAGCTTTGGGGTTTAAGCTGATCTCTAACTATTAGAGACTAAAGCACGAGTAGCAGGGGGCAGATGATTCCACATTTGGTACTGTAGGGTTCTTACCCTTCTTCTGGACCATCTGGCCCTGTCCACGATCAGAGACAGGAGACTGCACTCGATGGACCTTGGGCTGGATCCAGTCTGGCAATTCCTACATTCAGTGATGAATTTGGGGATCAGTGTATTTTATTCATTTATTTGATTCAAAGTGACACAAGAAACCGCTTCTCCTTGCACACAATGCAAATATAAACACAACAGTATTGCGAACTTCCACGAGTTCATCACGAGTCTCACAATGTTTGGTGTTTTCCTTGAAGTCCCAGCTCCAGGAGTCAGGTGATGATGTGAGAATCTCAGCTTTCATTCTTTTTTAAGTAACTGTGGACACAAGCTTGAACACATGACCCATAATGGCTAAGGCACCAGAGAACAAATGAAAAGAACCCCACATTGATTATTTGTTTATCTCATGATTTTGGGGGCCCTGTCCCATTCTTTTTGAAGGCAGGGATCTGGCAATACCCAGACAAGGATAAATCTTAAAAAAACACCTAGGTGGCAATAATATACACAGCAGAGTGCGGGAAAATCGATTAGTGAATGAAACTCCAGCTACGTAATAGGCTCCTTCTCTCTGCGTGCATTTCAGTGACTGGAGGCGGCGGGGGAGGTGCTGGATTGGCAGCTCTTGGTTGCTCTGTGTGACCCCAGAGCGGGGATAGCATTAAGTAGAACCAACCCACAACCCTCCCTCTTCCCCCCTGTGCCAACCTGCCTTGGAGGAACCCTTCTAGGAGAGAGAAGAGCATTCAGTCTTTACAGCCTAGTCAGGCCTTCTGGCCCAGCTGATCAAACTCTCTTCTCAGAGCTGGGGACAGAACCCAGGAGTCCCATTTCCCAACCACTCCTCCCCCCCCTCTAGCCACTAGACTTCGCTCCCCTCCAGGATCTGGCGACAGAACCCAGGAGTCCTGACTCCCAGCCCCCGCCCCACTCTAACCATGAAGACCACACCGAGGAGGACTCTAACCACTGAGAGACCCCCAATTAGCAGCACGGCAACCACAGAGACCCTGCCACAGAAGGACTGTAACCATGGAGACACCCCCCACTACAGCAGGATGGTACCCACATTTGCACAGCACCGCCAGCTTTGATACTGGAAGTGTGTCCCACCTCCGTGATCATCTTGTCAGATGCACTGTCAGGACAACTAGTACTGGCAATCACAAATGGAAATAGAAATGATATAAACAAAATGTTGTTACTAACACCAGAGTTGGGACAGATGGAAATAAACATAGAGACAGCCTGGATAGCTGGCGTAGCGCCTCCTCTCCACCCAGTTACCTCCTTTAATGCCAATCTGCTTACAGGTTCTGCTGGACAGGCCTGGGGTCTTCTGTGTCCCTCCACCTGCTCCGCAGGGTGTAACTTCTTTATTTCTTCCCATATGAATTTATTTGGCGGTGCCTCCACCTTGTAACTCCTTCCTGGCAGGGTCACCAGGGCAGTGTGGGAGGATAATTCTAAGCACAGGGTAACCCCCACTTACTTGCCAGAGAGCTGGAGACTCCCAAGAAATAACCCAAACACCCACAGTATCTTCAACACAATATTTCTATTAAACAGGTGATAAATAGAACAGAACAGGGTAAAATACGATTCTCAGGGTCACTGGTTCCCACGCCGATACTACCCAAGAATTTCCCCGGTCACGTGACCTGATATAGCAAATGTAAAGTTAGTGTCCCGTTGGCATGTGTACTTTGTAGGGACCCGTGATGGCTGATGACCACGATACCAACTGTGCAGCAGCTAGTGATGTGGCTGCCTGGGTTCGGGACAGCCCAAAGGACTCACACGTGGGATACGTTGGTAAGTCCTTCCACAGCTTTAATAGGCAGCAGGTTATAAAATCCCCAAACCCTGACCCACTGGCCTGAGGACACAGTTCAGGGAGTTGGGGGTCTCCCAAACAACCTCCCTGAGTGACTGACTAAAAGATGGTGCGCTCACGACTCTGTGACTGATCCTCAGGTTCAGAGCTGGCTCTGGACTCCTCAGTCGCTGCCGAGGGGCTGATGATCACTGATGGCAGGCATCCTCTTCATGCAGGAGTCAGGTGCCAGGATTTCCCATCCCCACCCAGGGGTACAGGGCTCTGGGTGCACATTACAAAACTGTGCTAAACTCCAAACATGGGTGGCGCATGGCTCCCGCCTTTGGGGAGGGTGGAGCCTGGACCGTGGCTCCACCCACTACTCAGCCCCAAGGCCTGTCCTCGCTGGGCCTCCTCCCCCCAAAGCCCTGTCCATGCTCCAGCCCCGTTCACCCCATACGCCACTCATGCTCCACCCCCATCCACCCCAGGGCCTGCTTCCATTCAGCCCCCTCCTTGGTCACCCCCCTGCCTGCTGCTCATCCTCGTTGCTTGCTCCTCTAATCCACCGGGGAGGAGAGGAGTGACTAAGCAAGCAGAGGGAGGTGGGGGTCCTCAGGGGGAACAGGCTGAGCGGGGAGGCGGGGGGAGCCCAGGAGTCCCTGCTCTTAAAGGTGGGGGGGTCAGCTGCTGTTTGGGGAGGTATTCCTCCCCTGGCCTATTAAACCAACCGCCCATAAATTCAAACCTTATTCTCCCTTCCCAGCACCCAGACACACTCCCAGCTGGACTAGCAGCCAGAGCAGTGGTGCCCTGGGGTGACTGATCTCACCTAGGGAGCTGGGGAGCTCACTCAGCAGGGCTAGGAGTAGTTTTCCCAGCCAAACTCTACAAACTGGGAGTCACCTTGGACCGGGAAGGTCTCAAGCTGCGGGATCTGGCTTCCAGATCCCTATAGACCAGTTCTCAGGGGGAACCCTGCATGCAGGCCTGGGTCTCCCCAGCCCCACACACAGCCAGTCAACCCCCTCCCTGGCTGGCTCCAGACTGCTCCAAAATGGCTTCTCCCCCACCACCCCTTCAGCTCCCTGTGAGGGACATCTCTCTTGGGAGCCGAGCAGACTCGGAATCTGTCTTGGCTCCCCCTCCTTCCCAGGGACAGCGCGTGCTTCTCTGTGAGCAACCAGCGCACAGAGCCCCTCTGCCCATCAACCGAGGCAAGCTCCTGGGGGTTACACTGGGATAGCAGGAAATGAGGTGGTGGGAAAATTAGCAAAAAAATACTTCATTTTTTTTTTAAATTCCACAGACATCCCTCTACGTCAACAGGAGTTTAAAAACCGAAATCAACGGAGAGAGAGATGTTGTGACGCCTGCCCTAAAACTGAAAATGACAAATTGCAAGAACCTGAGAGAACGAATGAGGTCGCTCTACTCCGAATACTTACTGGCCACTGTGGCTTAACCAGTAACTTGGCTTTAATTAATAAACCCTCCCAGAGATGGGCTGTGAGAGACAGGCCGGGCCACAGAAATGAATGATCACATCCTCTGGGAGTGCAGAGTGTCACACTGAGAGTGGGGTTTTGTGTGACAAGCTCAGGCACCTAAAATACCATCAGGGGCTCGTTCACCTGCACATCTACCAATGTGATATATGCCATCATGTGCCAGCAATGCCCCTCTGCCATGTACATTGGCCAAACTGGACAGTCTCTACGCAAAAGAATTAATGGACACAAATCTGACATCAGGAATCAAAATACTCAAAAACCAGTGGGAGAAAACTTTAACCTGTCTGGTCATTCAGTGACAGACCTGCGGGTGGCTATATTACAACAGAAAAACTTCAAAAACAGACTCCAACGAGAGACTGCTGAGCTAGAATTGATATGCAAACTAGACACAGTCAACTCCGGTTTGAATAAGGACTGGGAATGGCTGAGCCATTACAAACATTAATTCTATCTCCCCTTGTAAGTATACTCACACTTCTTATCAAACTGTCTGTACTGGGCTATCTTGATTATCACTTCAAAAGGTTTTTTTTTTTTCTTCTTAATTAATTGGCCTCTCAGAGTTGGTAAGACAACTCCCACCTGTTTATGCTCTCTGTATGTGTGTATATATATCTCCTCAATATATGTTCCATTCTATATGCATCCGAAGAAGTGGGCTGTAGTCCACGAAAGCTTATGCTACTAATAAATTTGTTAGTCTCTAAGGTGCCACAAGTACTCCTGTTCTTCTTTTTGCGGATACAGACTAACACGGCTGCTACTCTGAAACCTGTAGGAGAACACTTCAACCTCCCTGGCCACACAATAGCAGATGTAAAGGTAGCCATCTTACAGCAAAAA